GCGCGAAGGAGAACATAAATGTTAAAATATCAGGAAGCAGCCATTGCAGAGGCTTATTACGTTCTCGTTATTACGTTCTCGTAAACGGTGGCGAATCGGCGAGCGCGTCGGAAGAGAAAAATTACGTATCTGTCGCGGTAAGGATCGACGGCGGGGAAGTTGCGGGGCGAGTTGCAAGGTGCCCGATATGCAATTATCAATTATTATCATTATAGCGTACGGCGCGTATAAGAACGCGCGTAACGCGCTTGTATCCCGTCTAGGGGCCTATCTTGTGGGAACGTCTACGCGGCGTTGTGCGCGCGCGCGCGGACTCTTTTCTTCCAGATGGACGATACGCGCCTTGCTTTACCAGGTCGTTGCGTCTACTACTACTCCCTACGCGCGCGGCACTCTCACGACAATGCGTTAGGGGAGTGTACACGCTTATGAATGCGACGTACGCATTCGAGTTGTCCTTATTAAGGTATGATGCGGTCTTGGCAACGCGGTCCGTTTCCTTCTGACGAGCGCACTTAATAACGCTTTTAATTAAGCGCGGCGTATCCGCGGCGCAGGAACAAACGTATCGCACGACTGTCAACGGAGAGCTGAGCAGAGAATTTCTACATTAATTCTTTTATCCTCGAAAAAACATATATGCATGGAGCAATGTGATATCAAATTAATCGTAATAGTATTTGTGACGAGCGAGTCTCATCGGTGCGTTTCGAATTGCGTTGGAAATTTTCCTTCCTAGAAATCGAGGCGATTAGGAAAATGCGGCTTGAGAATCAGCTTATATTCACTTGGCTGGTAATTGGTGTGCTAATTAAACGTCTCTCGCTCTCGGGCGATACTGGTTCCCGAACTGTCGTTCGACCTCGCGGAGAGACAAAATTTCTGTCTCTCTCTCACCGCGTTCGCGTTCGGCGTTTCGCAAGGTGGGAGAGAGGACGGGAATTTAAACCGTGGGCCGGATAATCATATTCCACGACATTTCGCGGCTACGTCGAATAATGAATGCGTATCGCATTAGCGACTAGGCGGTCGGGCGCAGCCTCTATCTATAATTCGATGGCTCGGACACGATGCGAGGTGGTACTTCGCGCCCCCTCCCCCCACCCCGTCGTAGATTATCAATTTATCTGGGCACGCGCTTGCACATTGATAGCGGCGAACAAGCGCGCGCGGGATCCTCTCTTTCGCGTACGCTTTAATAATTCGCGTTATTGTCACGGTTTCATGCGCACGACAGCGTATTAAGCACTCCCCGGGAAACGTCATTGATGTAAACGTCAATGGGACGAAACGCACGGCCAAACACAATGACGAATCATCGACGGCTAGTCATCGATATTTTTATAATGCTGTATAAATCGAATAGCCTCAAAACCGTCGGATATTCCTTTTGCTACGTAGAATCTTCAACATATTTCGGGTCGATTTTTTTACGATATTACGAAATATCTGTAGTTCTCAGATAATTTAAAAGAAATGAAAATGAATTAGACCTGAGGAGAAGAAGTAAACGATAAAATCGTACATTTTACAATTAGTTTCGGATAAGTATCGATTTAAGGAAATGCTACGTTCAATCTTATTTGCGCGAAGATATATACAATACAAAAAATCGAAACAGTGCGATAAACGATAACCTGCCTCGACACTTCCGACGAGAGGAGATAATCACGGAATTAATCAAAGGCAATATCACTCAAGAGGAAATGATGCGACAAGCGCATTAATCTTGCGTATTATCCGTGTAGACGCTCAAATTGACCATTCATTCAACAGGAATAGAATCCAAGCTGAAAGGAAAATATCCTTCCGCGAGTGCTCCATTTTTTTTCCTCCAGAACAACTAGAGAGATACGTGCGAAGATTACGTTTCGCTTTTTCCGTTTTAACTCTTTCGGTTGATCTACACTCGGCTACTTGTTGAACCAGGGGGGGGGGAGAAAAAGACTGACCGATGAGAGAGAGCTCGCGATGCGTGTGTGCGCGGCAACGTTGGCCGCCGGCGTTCGATCGTAATAGCCGTAATAGGCGGAAACAACGACGTCGCGAAACAAAGGGTTAATCCGACGAGAAACGGTGCATATCTCGTTCCGT